GATAAATGCAGAGCACTAATTCTGAGTATGGGTCACCATACTTGGCCACATGTCACTTCACTTACATTTGAGTAAGCAATCATTCTTTTCACTCAATTCTAGTGCATAAATAATTGTGACAAACATATTGCTCTTTCCAGAAAATCTGAACTCAAATGAAAGGTTGCTTTGGCATGTTAGATAAATGTGTGTGTACTGTGTAGCATTGCACATTTTTTTATTTTTTATACTAAACACTGCCAGTGTGCATGAGCGCACACTTTCATTCATATTTTGGAGTCTCTTGGTCCAAGTGTTTTTTAGGTCAGTGGATATATGCATGGATCAGACACCTGCATTTTTTTTTTCTTTCCCAATGTGGTGTAAAGGTAAAGGTGCCTTTTTGTCCCCACATTTAGAACAAACACCCTGAAATACTAGGTACTTAAAATACAGCAAACTATAGTCTACACTATGAATGCACTTTTAATGCAAGCCAACAGAATATTGTAATACAAGTCTACTACATTTGGTTGAGTAGGCTAAAGGTGAGGGTTCATGCATTACATTCCACAACCACAATAACCTCATACACTAGGCTGGAATACACTACACGACTTAAAAAATCTGAACAGATTTTAAAACGGTAAGCATCATACACTTAATGACTTTGTAAATAGTCACAGAGGAAAACTGACCATCATACACTACACGACTGAGGATCACAAACAACCAGACTTTAAAGTCAATTACGATTACTCATGCAGAAACTCATGCATATAATGACTCCACGATGTAGAGATAGCCCTGAGGTCATAATAATTTTGAAATGTATCGCCTCAGCTAATGATCTGGTATTGATTTTGTAATGTATTACAAGGTTGTGAGGTTCTTTCACACAATCAAATTGCTTTTGTGGTGCTCTTATGAGTAATAAATGCTAAAAACAGCAATGGCCATTGTTCATTTGAGCTGGTTTTGACACCCACCCTAAAATCATAGTGTTGGAATGAGATCTGATAAAAAATAAACCTTTCTAACTCAGAGACAGCCCTCTGTGATGGGCTCCCCTACCTGAGGAGTATATTATGGGTCGCTGTGTGAAGGCAGGCAGGCTAAATGGCAAGGAAGGGAACTGACAGATTCTTTGAAGATGCCAATTAGACAAGCTGCCATTTAGATCAAACACACCAAGCCTTTTTCAGTGCAAAGCCATGGCATTTATCAGCAATCCCTGCTTGTTAGGAGAACTGAAAAGTTGAAGGTGTCCAACCTTCCTAACAGGATGAGGGAGGACTGCGAAAGGTGAAACCTTCTGAACAGAGAAAGAAGAAAAGGACTGAGAGCTGAGAAGAGTGAATACAACTACTCATCTGGTTCTCTGCAAATTCTTCCTATTTTTGACCATTTCTCTCTAATTCCTAATTTTTCAAGCAATACGAAAAATTAACACAGAGTCCCAACACAGTGCAATTCTGCTTTTCCCGGATACGAGAACTAATATAACTAGAACAGGTTTCATTATTTTCAAACAGACCCTTCAAGACTGAATGTCTGAATCTGATAAGATGGGGGCAAGTTACACTTCAAGTCAAGTTGTGAGAGAAACTAGTGAAATATAGTTGAAATATGGCAAATCATTCTGAACTATTTCTATCTTTAGCATCTCTAACTGGCTTTTAATGTGGTTATCAGCTCATGCTATGCTGAGGCCTTTAAAGGCTGCGAAAAGGATGGTGGAATGGAATCCATTGAAGAGGCAGTGTGCCTTCTCTGTCGCAGCCGATAAAGTGATCTCATTACCGATTACTCACGCACACCTTCCCTTCTCTACCCTCCACTGTACATGCAACATATATTCACACAGACACAATCCAGAGGTAAAATGTGACTCACTGAGGTGGGGAGTCTGGGTACATGACGTTGACTTGAGACAGCGTCTCCACGTAGGAGTCAAAGTCAAATGCAGGGGGAAAGTCCTCAACACAAGTGGATCTCAGCTCTCCAATGGAGCCACCATATGAGAGGCCATCTGGAGCTGTAGAAACAATAGCAGCAAAACGTATTTTTCAAGATATGACCACATTAAAAATATATAAATGTCACTGCATAAGATAAAAAGAAAATCAAACTAAGTGACATTTATTTTAAAGACAGATAGCACAAACTCAAAATTATAAAACAGTGGAACATGACCATGATTCTTGATAAAAACACACCAGTTGGAACTCTGCTAGGACATGCAAAGTTTAAAGTAAACCTAAACCTTCACAATTTTGCAGTTTATAATACAGTCAATGCCAAATAGCAGAGAGAGGGTCTTGCTGACCACATCACTATCTACTGGAAAAGGCTAACTGATAGAAGCAGAAGGGTTATACAAGGACTGGCTTTTCACCAGCATTATTCCCTGACCTCCCAAACATAAGTCTGAATGCACTACAGGGTTGGTTGCTCTCAACTTTTTCAAAACAGTATGACAAATCAACTGCATGTCATTATGCCACACAGAAACTACAAACAAAAGAATGAAGTGTTTTAAATATGTTGTGGACCCCATGAAGTTAGGCCACTGACCGTAGCTGGCATGCAGGTGGGGGTTGCGCAGGCGGCTGTCTTTGCGCAGACTGCCCACAATGATGGTGACGCAGGAGAGGAAGAGCACCAGGCCGATGACGATGCCAGCCACCACCAGAGGGGACACCAGAAGGCTGGCTTCATTACCCCCTTCTTGGCAGTCTGCGTACTCATGAGCATGACTGCTCTGGTTTGAGCTTACTGTATGGAGGAGAGGGTAGATGTGTGGAGGTCAGCAGAATGATAAAGACAGAAAGATGGCATGAGTGAAAGAAAAGAAGGGAAATAAGAGAAAGATGAGACGGCTGGTCAGTTTTTAAAGCACTTTCAATAAATTTACAGTAGCGAGTGTTACATAATACACAAAACAGACATTTTCTTCTTTCCCACACAGACAGAGAGATCATACTGGTGTAATGTTTCTAAACTTAAAACGCATTTTTGCCCCGTTTGTGTTGTTTTACTACTTACACAATTATTTAAAGTATAAAACATTGTTATTTACAATGCACAGCGTGGTTTTTAATCATATATTTCGCGGGGACAACTCTCAGATAGGGGGGATCCTGTCCCTCCCGACCCCCCGGGATTTCCGCCTATGCACTCAACTAATATGTCTTACTACAAGTGTGTCATGTATTATCCCTGTCAAAGTATGCAATATGTGTATGATATTTATGTAGATTTTCTGTAATGTTGTAATTAATGGTTGATCACAATTGGAATTGGTAATCCCATATGACAAAAAATCATTTACTGCCTGACTGGAATGATTGAGAAAAACATCACACCTTACTGATACCAAATTAGGCCACAGGCTGTTCAAAATACTGGAAAGACTCAATATAAAATTATCACAGTCAATCACAAGACCTCCTCAACATCAACAGTTTTGCACTTTTACCATCACATGTGCTTTCTCACACAAGCAGGCAAGCAAGAGCAATACAGAAAGTAACTAAAAAGTCTACTGTCACTTGATTTGAAAATCTATGACGTTCTCCGTTCCTTTTCAAGATAATGTGTAATTTGGGTTTAAAACATAAGTACAAAAACATCTCGGTTACGTATGTAACCCTCGTTCTCTGAAGGAGGGAACGGACATGAAGTTAGGCCACTGACCGTAGCTGGCATGCAGGTGGGGGTTGCGCAGGCGGCTGTCTTTGCGCAGACTGCCCACAATGATGGTGACGCAGGAGAGGAAGAGCACCAGGCCGATGACGATGCCAGCCACCACCAGAGGGGACACCAGAAGGCTGGCTTCATTACCCCCTTCTTGGCAGTCTGCGTACTCATGAGCATGACTGCTCTGGTTTGAGCTTACTGTATGGAGGAGAGGGTAGATGTGTGGAGGTCAGCAGAATGATAAAGACAGAAAGATGGCATGAGTGAAAGAAAAGAAGGGAAATAAGAGAAAGATGAGACGGCTGGTCAGTTTTTAAAGCACTTTCAATAAATTTACAGTAGCGAGTGTTACATAATACACAAAACAGACATTTTCTTCTTTCCCACACAGACAGAGAGATCATACTGGTGTGGGATTATGTCAGTTTCTATATAATAACTCTGCTCTGAGACACAATCACACTCGCATACCTACCTCTCTGAGGACCGCAGATTAGGAACGCTCCCCAGACTTTCATCCCTCAGTGGATTAGATTCTCAAGTCTGCAGTGTTTAAATTTTAATCCTGACCTGTTTGAATTTTTAAATATGCGGGGTGGAAGACTTTCATGTCAGCTCGCAAGAAGCCCAACTCCAGCCATTAGCTCCTCTCTGAGTTCTTTCACCCTTTCCATTAAGACCAGAGAGAAACCAAAATAAGCCACACACACTCACACATATACTCGCATAGGCTACAAAGATACAGACAGATTCAATAAAGCCTATTGGGAAAGATAATGATATTAACACTCTCTGAGCTTGATACCTCCAGCCCTTCCTGGAGGTAAACAAGACAGAAATCAAATCAATGTATCTGTGAGGGCAGCACAGTGCTTCAATTGTATCCATATTTATTATGAGGACAAAAGAAACACCAGGAAGTGTTCAATGTAATGTGATAATTCTCTTAAACTCCATAAGCTGCAGATGTAAACAACAACAACAATAATAAAGTTAACGTAATTATA